GAGAAGTTCGCTTATTAAATATATTTCTAGATTCCAACCCAATTAAAAGCGAAATATAATTGAGAAGTGAGCTCATCTTTTATCACAAAATTAAACACACATTCGAAGTATTGAATACCTATCGGAAAAATTAATGTAATGTATATAAATAAGTTTATTCGATCAAATAATAATAAAAATGGAAATAATACAATTTTCAATGTGATTTAAAAATCATTATTCGATAATTTATTTTATGTTCAACATTTTTCTTTATTTTTAATTAATTTTGTTTCTGCTGCTTTGGTGTTAACAATTAAAACTAATCTTATAGCCCATTTTTCTTACAATTTGAGATCTGCCATAAAAGTTATGTTCTTCAGCTCAAGCAATGAGTTGCTTATTGTTTAAAAAATAAATTTAGAAAAGAAAATGTGTGTTGTTGTTGTTATTATTCAACTCTCTTTGCGTGTCATCTGTGCCATTAATATCTGCATCCACCAGCTCGTCTCTGCGCATTGCAACATCTCCTTGTTATTTGGGCTACAGAACTGTGGCTCGTAAATGTGAAACCTTTGGCCCTAACAGCCATAAATGTAAACGGCCTCAGAGCTGTCAAAATGCCCGAGGCTAGCAGGCGGGCCAGCACGCCCGCGCCGATCGGGCAGACACTCATCCCGAGCATATGTGTGTGTCACTAAATCTGCCATCCCCGAGCCCCCCCTAACCCCCTCCTTTTCAAGCAACGAAGGCGTTTTCAGTTCAATCACAGACATAGACATAGACACAGTCGCAATTGCAGACCCAGCCGTAGTCGCAGTCAACTAGTTATAGAAAGCAAAGAGCCAGCGAAATGAAAATAAAAATGCATAAATATGAAAAATGAAGACATAAAAACGAGGCAAGTGGCAAGAATAACACACACACACACATCACATCACATACATGCCATGCTCAACGTCTGAAATTATTTCAATTTCAACTTAAATGAGTTTTGCGTGCCCCAGCGCTGGACTGGGACGGGGGCAGAGTTAAGGAGGCGGTTACGTATAGTTCGCTGTAGTTAAAACTTTAACAGCCGTCATAATATTTTGAAATCAAACTGAGGCGGCAGTCGGCACTATAAACTAAAATGTTGAATGGTTAGTTGTGACTTGTGGTTACCTTGGAAGCAGGCACACAGGCTGGGGCTCAGGCTGGGGCATGGGCCGGGCCACTGGCTGAGGCACAGCTGGCGTTGACAGTGCCAACGATTGTGATTATGTTGGGCCTTGCTCGGCCCAGGCTGGGTCTTCCCTAGCTTCCCAGCTGTTTAATAAGTTTCTGCAGTTTTTGGCAGAGCCGGGCAGGCAGCAAACGCCTACAAGTTGCCTCGCTGGCTTTGTCCCTGCACAGACGATGTTATTGTCGTTGTCATTGTTGTTGCTGTCATTGCTGTTGTTGCTGGCTACGCCTACCTAATCATTTTGGCGTTGACACTTGACACTTGAGCAGCGCCTCATGCACACGCCCCCAAAGGCATAAAAACAACTGCGATAATGTACACTAGTCGAGGAAAGTTAATTCACACACAAGTCGAAGGTAGCTTGTCTTGTAAGCTATATAGCCAGAGCCGATCGGTCTTAGTTGAAATGAAGCTTCAACTTTATACTCAAAATGTGCAGAAATAGGACAAACTTTTCAGGTGCACCCATTGGACTATTTTGAATATTGCCTCAAAATTTGATCAAAATCGGTAGAACGGTTTCTATATGGAATATTCATATATACATACATATATACTTCCATTTTTATATACATATATAGATAGATTTGCTTGCTTTGTTGAGATGATATTGGGAATGTTTAAGCTATATTTGTATTTTTCTATAAGTTTAATTTAAGTTGTTGTAAATAATAACAGTATAATTAAAGTTTTACATTTATAATAAAAATAAAAGAATATATGGGGAATATTTTTGTCAGTTATAGTTCAAGTATGAATTGTAATTAGTCAGTCATTAATATGACTGATCAGTTTAAATTGAAATTGCATTATCAGTATACCTTTTAAACGCTTTAAACCTATCTAAGTTTGAATGTTGTTGGCTACACTACAACTAAATACAATATGAATGAAAGATATAATCATCTGTCCTATTCTTTGAAAAAGTTAATTGTTCCCTCTGCAGTAATTTTTTACTCAAATCTTTCCAATTGGCATAATTTTAAAGTACACACAACAATGCAAACAATTTCACAGTAAATGCCAGACAAAATACACATTATAATCGCACATGTATATTCTGTGATTACAGCACATTCTATTTAAGAGAAAGCCCAATACTTATGCGCAGCAGTGTTTGTTGGGTCGCTTTTAATGCGTATCCGCCATGTTGTACGCATTTGCTGGGCTATGTTTTAAATTGTTGCCACTTTCTATGGATATTGCTAGCAATGCTTGCTAAGTGAGTTTATGTGCCCATACATGTATATGAATGTATATGTGTATGCGTGTTTGTAGGTGTGTGTGTTGACTTTGAAGACTGGGCGTAATAAAGCGGCAACTGGCTGACTGCCTGAATATGAGAATTTCCACTGCCTTCATCTGTCGCTGGAGCTGAAGCTGGAGCTGGTACTGCATTGTAATTGATTTGTAGTTCTTTAATGTGGCGCACATTGCGTTGAAATCTATAAATTATGTGGCAAAGACTCAGCCCTCCCTTGCGACACATAAACAAAGCGGCAAACGAGTGGAAGCGTCGTTGAGTGGGAGATGCGTCGGGGGCCTTTGGAGGTCGGACTCGCAATTTTGCATGCAAACGCCGCCAAATGACGCATGAAAAATCAATAACAAAAGATGCGGGAAAAACGTGAAATACTTTGCCCCGAAACGGAAAAACAAAAATGGAACTTTTTAAATTGCCAACTCAGGCCATTTTTGTGGTCGCTTCATTTCACACGCTACCGCCGTCGCCACCAACACGCTTATTTAAGCAATAATTTCTAGCTGCTTTTCGTTTTCGCTTTTTTTCTTGTTCAGTGTTGTGTTGTTGTTTTTTTTTTTTGGTATTTTGGCTGCTTTTTTGATTAATGGTCGTGCTCATAAAGTGACACATTGAAAATTGGAAAGCAAATCAAGCACGAAGAGAGAGAAGGAAGGAATGGCAGAAGTGGCGAACAAAGTCAAGAAGCAAACGCATGAAATCAGCACAAATAAATAAATAAAATGGCCGAGCGAGAAAAATCTTTTGGAAATTGTTGCTAAAAGTGTAAAAAGTTGCGACTGAGCCAAAGTAAAAGAAATGGCCTAAAGGTCATGAAAGTGAAAAATTCGATAAATGAAAACGGACAACAGGCTCAGCCTGAGAAGCCGTCCGTGCCGTGGCCAAGGATGAGGCAGCAACAAAGGCGCAGCGCACGAATTGAAACGGAAATCCTTATTGAACTAGCGTGGGCGGTAGGCGGTGGGTGGTGGAAGGCAGTGGAAGGCGGACTTGTCCTTTGCGCTGCTGCGCTGGCAAACCGGAAAGGCATGCTGCCGAAAATTTGTGCTGAGTGGCAGCTGAGTGCTCTGGGCTCTGGACCAAGCGGCTAAGCACTGGACGGCTGTCCAGCGGCGGAAGTGAATTGGCAGCGCGACACACAAACTTACGCACGCACAGGAAATGCCTGCGAGCTGCCTTCAATAGCAGCAAGCAAATGTCAAGCAGCAGCAGGAATTGAGCTCAAATTTCGAATTGTAAGTGATAATGGGCTGCACTTCTATATACCACTTATAGAATGTGTATACTATATGTATGGCCAGATTTAATTCCGACAGTGGAAACTGATTGATGGCAGAAGGCTTGCAAAGTCCCTCTGAGTCCCTCTCTTCCAAATAAAAAGCACAAACAGATGGATTTGAATTAAAAAGTTAATATATGCTTAAATGTAAACGGGTTTTCAGTTGCTATTTGTTTGTAAGACAAATAATGTACAACTAAAGACTACAAAAGCTCAAATATTTCAGAATAAAAACCATCCCTACAAAGGTTTTGCTTACTGCCCCTGTGCCTTCAGATCTGTATTAGAATATAATAGAGTAGAGTAGAGTTGAGTATATATGAGCAGAGAGATATAAAGGTTAAGAATAACTGGGAAATAGATTTTTATTCTGTAATAATATCTTCGGAATCTCTGAACGAACGAACAGCTGTGAAACGGGGCAGAGATCCCTTTTTTTTTATCATATTTTTCATTTTATTTCATTGTTTAATTCATTTTATTAATTAGCTATTTATTAATTTAAGTTTCTTATGAGTTCTTTATTAATTTCACAGTAGAATAATCGACTCTGACTACAATTGGCTGTAAATCGGGGCATAGCTAGCCAATTTGCCATTAAAATTGCCCCATAATTGTACTAATTAATATTTGATTAGATTTTATTTGACTATTTATGCTCTTTTAGCTGATAGGGCTTCTTTAAACCAATGTTGTCGACAGCTTGTATTTGTCAACATGAAATAAAATATAAATAAATAAATTTAAAAAAAAAGAATTTGTGAAAAAACACAAAATTAATGGAGAGCAAAAGGTTTCTAGAGTACATTGTTTCATACACGTAGGTCAACATTTAAAACTATTATTTAACCACTTTTCGCATTCTTGTAGCAAATCATTGCACTGGCAATAAATGTTGTGGTTATACTTATTTTTCTAAGACCAAGTTCAGCAATTCGGCCAGAGATTTGGAGAAAGACGGAACAATGCGGTCATTACGAAAAGAATTCCATTTTACGACTACTTTTAACCGTTAGAGGCTTTTGCAGAAGCAAGAACAGCATTCAATACTCTTCGCATGATTTACGAGGCGATCCAAATAAAAATATACACACTAAAACAGTCTAATCTTCTAAATCTGCATGTGTTGGCGCGAATTTAAAGTGAAATGTGTAATAAAAAAAAGTCAGTCAGCTTGCCAGTCACTCATTCACTATATAAGTGATCTGTGGTCGAGGGTAGAGGCACAGTCATCCACAATTACTGATTCTTCCAACATGTCTAACTTGACTATTTTGCTGCTCTCTGCTGCTTGCCTCGCCTTGACCGCTGCCCAGACAACGGCTCCAGGACCGGAGGCTCGCCGCTTGGCCCGGGATTATCGTAAGTTAGCATTCTGTATAACTTTATAAAGTCAATATAGCATTTTGTTCGCCGTAGCTCTGATCGGTATATTGCCACGTTTCTTCTCCCGCCTGGACAACGACCGCCCGCAGCAGCAACCTCAGATTATTTTTCTGCAGGCACCCAATCAGAATCAGAACCAGAATCAGCAGCAAATACCCCCATATTTCTGGCCGACATTTCCAAGTCGTCCCAATCAACGTCCTCCCTTCAATTATCCTGGCTTTGATACAGGGTCAGATAGTGGGTCTCCATCTATTGTCATCGTCAATCCGAACAACATGCAGGGCCTTTACTTCCCCATCAACAGCTCCAGTCAAGCGATCCCCGCAGCTGCTGCTGGCGGAAGAGCTGCTGGTAATCGCTTTGGCGCGGGTTTTGTATCCGTTAATGATCTATTACAGAGTCTGAGCCATGCTAATGCCGACGATGATGAATCTGGCGACGATCAAATAATTCAACCCACTATCATCGACTCTGCACACCATGCGGACAACTCTGCCGATGATGTCAGCGAGGACGAGCTGGGTCTGTTGGAGCGCCAGGCGGCACGTGGTCTGAGTCCCAAGCATTTGGTCGCATTGCTCACACAGGATAAGCAACGCAAGCGCTTCCAGGAGGCCGCTGCAGGCATCTACTTGAAGAACTTCAATTTGCATAAATAAGCAACAGTGTAGAGATTGGAAATCGAAAGTAAATAAATGCATATTAACGAACCGTTTGGGCAATGCCAGCCAAACGAACTATAATTTTTGGATATTTTCGTTGAGGGGAGCTCAAAAGGTGCAGCTTCCTCAATTCCTAGAAATTCCATTGAATTGAATTAATGAAAAATGTTTGAAACATTTGGCAAAGAAGGCTTACAAGGCTTGTGCAATCTCCATACAATATCCGATGATAATGTAAGACCACCCCACCTCTTAAGCAGAGTTGAAAATGCAACAATGTGTTGCTCCCACTAGCATAGTATTTACCAGGTAGAAACTATAGTGGCAGCCCAATCAGGCACTTCAGATTTATGCTGGAAGCTTCGGGCACTTTGAAGCGCCCTAATAGCAGAGTAAAGAAAGGCCAAGCCTTCCCATAGTGCTTAAAAACATAATAGGCAGCCCGAATATGCCTTTCTGTATGTACTCGTATGTAGAATTATCCTGCTTTGTGTTAAGTTGGCCAAATCCAAATTGAAATCCAGTCCAAACTACCGCAAATGCACTTGAAAATGGTGTAAACAATGCACTCGGTTTTAGAATAGAGAGGACAGAGTTCAGGTCGACTGTCTTAACTGCCAATTTGCGTACAAATTTCAACACACATGCAAAATATGCCAAATACGAAAAATCACAAACACACGCACACACACTTACATTTCATCAGCAAATATCCTATAAGGACCATGCATGTGTCGATTTTTCATTTACCAAATGGTCCCAAAAGAGAGCAAGAAGAGAGAAGCATTTTTCTGGGGCACGTGGGTGAAATTTCTTGGCCGGTTTTCTCCTCATCTGTGCACACAGCGCCCGTAGTTTTAAGCGTAACGAATTGGATTGTCATGCCAATCGATAAATATTTGCACACATACTCGACGCAATACATACACACGCACACCCACACACACGCACACAGTGGAATCGAGCTGAACACCTTAATGTAGGCTAAGTGGCTGGACATGTGTGGACGATTGCCGTTTGCTTTCACTGTCGTCTAACCAGCCCGAAGACTCTGATTAGGCAACTGGCACTGGCACTGGCACCAATGCACGAGGGTGCTGTCAAAGCCTTTGGTCAATACAAAACGACAGTTGGCCAGCCGTGCAATGTGCGGGCCACCTGAAGCTGCCACAACGCTCAATGCCGCTTTGCTAGAAATGTCTCGTGACTAAACTAATTTTTTGTGCGGTCACGAACATTAACCCTGCATTATAATTCTAGCTTGAATAATTCTTCTGGCGTGTTCTCATTCTCGTATTGACAGTTTGACAGTAATCGGAAACATCAAAAAGTGTAATTATTTTTTAAACGAGCTGAGAAGTTGTCTTCTCCTACAACGAAGCTGTAAATCCTTCACTGTACAAACTATATGATCTACAGCTTCCTCACTATCTGAGTGTAAAAGCATTTTCTGATTTCACGAGCGATGAAGTGCTTAAAAATTTGCATACACTTTTCTGCTTTCATAATAATAAACCCTTTGGCTTTCCAGGGAAGCCGAAATACTTGTAGTAAGTGTAAAGAGTAGTAACGAAATTATATTTATTTCAAACAACAAAATTCTGAAGGATTTTTCGATTAGATTGCTAAAAATTAAAATCATTTTCTTGCTTCATTTTGCTGTTTATGTCTCATGGTTTGGTTCGTTAGATTTAAAATCAGTTTCCATAATTCAATATCAACTAATTTATATCATGTTTTGTTCCAAATTTAAAACATAATTTTCAAATATGTGCTCTTTTCATTTTCAATGCCTGTAAAATGACTGTAAAATTGCTAAAAACGCGTTCTCAAATAATGTGAAGAAACCGAAATGTGTTTGGTGGAATGGCAAAACCTTAAATGTGGAAAAATTTATGAAAATAGAAAGAAAACAGTTAAGAAAACTGATGATTGCCGACTGATGATTAGTTTTTGATGAATGGCTATGATAACTGTTTAGTTAAAATATTATCGTGTTTGAATTTTTGAATAAAATAATTTAAATTCACAAAAAAGGGGAAAACAACAATCACAAACGTTGTAATTATAAATCAAAATTGACTTATTAATTTATATTCTATTCTTCCAAAATTGTTAATGGAACAGAGTTGAATTTATTGAATTGAATTTTCACAAATTCATGGTCAAATCACGAATTACTGGCACCTCTGCCATTTAGCCATGCCCCCATTTCCACTTGAGGCTCTTGCCAAATAGAATTTAAATCTGTTAAATCCTCGTACATGACAGTTTTCTGTTGAACTTGCTCGGCACTTTTTTGCGATGTTGCTGTTGCTGCCTTCCTGTTGCTGCTTGCAACGTTTTTTTTTTCGCTCAATCGTCTTATTTATTTTTACTTATGGCTGCTGGCAGTTGCCACGTTCCCTTGTCCACACGTCCACGTCTCCATCCCGCTGTCAGGCATCTAAGCCTGGATGCTTGCTTCTTCATTTCATCTTTTAAGCTTTCACTCTGCTGGCGGCGATGTGGTCTTGAGGTGATTTTGATTGAGTGCGATTTGTACTTTGTGTTGCCTACGTGTTTTGGTTTTTTAAATAATATTTACCTCGTGTGTCTATGTGTGTGTGTGTGTGTGTGTGTATCTAGGATTTATTGTTGTCTTTGGTTTCTGATTGCACAGGATATAGGACTTTCGCTTTTACTTATGACAGCGGATATTGTTTGATATTATTTGTGTTCCGACATTTACTTGAAGTTAGATATTTCTTTTATTTGCTTCTCATATTTGCTTAGTTCTAGGCTTGAAAATAAAGAATGCCAGGGTTTGGCAACTTGAACATGTTTGTAATAAATAATTCGTATTGTAAACCTACGCTTATCCTTTCACATGTAAAGCACTGAACTTTTGAGTTTAATTCCTAAGAGCTTATAGAAATAATTGCAAATTCATTTTTGACCCAATAATACATACAATTTGTATATTTTGGATGTATATTTAACTTTTTTAACAACCACCAGTACATATTTGTTCAACGAATGTTCTATATAGTCTATTAGTTTTAATCATTTTGAAGTACCATGTATTCTTTATAGCAGATTCTTCTCAATTTTTTAACCACAAAACTTTTTGGAACATGCTCTGTTTATTCCAGTATTCAGGCAGATCGGATAATAGATAACCTAAGTTTTCTAATAGTGCTGTTGCTAAGCTCTCTTTGCACAATAATTTCGATAGCATATCTCTAAAAATTAATTGGGTCACATGCGCCAACTACCTTTCTAATGTGGAACCAACGACTATTTGAAACGACAAGTTCAATGCACAGCAAAAAGTGGGGCCAACGTACTCAGTGCCAGGCCAACAATTCGGTCCAGCTGGAACAGATCTCTGCCATAAATATCTGGCGAGCATCGGACGACGACTATAAAAATCAATGACTAAACACATTAGCGCCTAAGGCAGGAATTGAAGTTGTCGGTAAATACTGAGGCTCCGCTACTTAATACTAAATCGATCATGAAAGAGGCAAATCCAAACATAAACATCAACTCGGTCAAAGAAATAGATGTCGAGATAGTTAGAGAGAGAGAGAGCGAGAGAGATTGAGAAAGAGATAGAGAACGCGGCCAAGACCAAAAGAATTGGATTTTTACGATTGCAATAAACAGCCAGCCAGACACTTGGCAAGAGCCAAGCGAAAATTTAACACTTTTCGCTTGATTTACGAGGCGATACAATAAAAAGAATATATGCAATGAAATAGATCAGCTGTGAAATTGACGGGGACAGAGCTTCATATTCCAATGTGCATGCGATTCTATATAAATGCTGGCATCGGCTTGGAGTCTTGCTATTCGCAGCATCTGGCAAAATGACAAACTCAACGCTTTTGCTGCTCCTTGCGGGTCTTGCGTTGGCGGCTGCGCAACCAGTCTTTAATTTTCGTAAGTTGGCGAGTCTATAAAGATTCCACAGTTGAGTAACTTGGAAATTTGTTTAGCTTCAGCTTTCAGCAATATGTGGCTACGGCCGTGGCTGCAACAAAATCCGCCGCAGAACACCAATCCCAGCTGGCCGCCAACTAATGTGAATAATATCTGGTCACGTCCTTGGTTCCAGCAGGATCAGCCGCAGAGCAACACGAACTTTTGGCAGAGCCAGTGGTGGAACAATCGGACGCAACAACCGCCTATCAACCCCAACTGGCCCAGTCAGAGTCCTCCGTACAATTTTGGCGGCTTTGATTTTCTATCCAACTTAAACCCCGGATCCGTCGTTATTGTCAATCCCACCAACATGCAAGATATTTATTGGCCAGTTAACAGCTCCAGTTTGGCAATGCCAGCAGCTCGGTCCGCCAGCTCAGAAGGTCAAGGTTTCAATGCCTTTAAGGATTTGTTTCAGGGTCTGGGCAATCGCTATGAGAAGTCCGATTCCATGGACAGTTTTTCAGAAGATGCGCGCGAGGACGAATTGGTGCCGACGCGTTTCCTAAACTCCAAGCCACTAATCTTTCTGCTTCCAAAGGACAAACAGCGGAGGCGTATCCAGGAAGCCGCCGCCGGCATCTATGTCAAGAACTTCAATGTGCATAAGTAAGCGACGTGTAACAATTGGAAATCGAACATAAATAAATTGAAATTATGCGAGTTGCCAGAGCGGCTACAAATATGGAGCTCCAGTCTCGTCTATTTGTCTTCATTATGCCGTTCCCTCTGCCGTTGTCATGGCTATGGCCAGTGTGTGCACTTTATCATAGTTCCCCGGAGAAATCTAAGCTGAGTTGCTCTAGTCTTGCCCCTCCTATTCCTATTCCTGGGTCTCCAGCTCTACCGCTCGACTGCTCTACCAATTCATCGTCATTGTCGTCGTCGTCAGCAGTTTGCTTTGTTTTTCTGAATGTTGCTTCTGCTTTTATCCTTTCGTGTGTTTTTCCTTTTTTTTTTTTTTTTGCTTGCCAACATTTCCAGAATTCTGCTCATTGTTACGGGAAGCACTAAAATAATCTGCAACTGCAGTTGAAATATTTATTTGCAATTCCCCAAACTAACGTGTGTGCCACTGCCACTGCCATTGCTAGCTCGAAATGTAACTACACGACCAGCTAGCCAGGTATGTGGAGCGCCAAAATGGAGCCGGGCTACAGTAAGGGACCGAAAGGAATGGGATGGGGGGCATGGAGGCAGCATCTGCATCTGCATCTGTTGCGAGGTGAGGGCAAAAGTTGTGCGTGGCAACAGCAACAGCAACAGCAGCTGCAGTTATTGTTTTAGGCTGCGGTTAAAGTTCCCTAACAAGATGTGAAGGGGGAGGCCATGGGAACCGGCCATAATGTTTCATATTCAGTGCAGCATGAACTTTAACTATTTCAGGCATACGAAAGGGTACAACAAAAAAAAAAGCCCAGCCATGCTTCAAAGGCATTCTATATAAGTTACTAAAAACGGTATATTCTTTAAAAATTGTTATAAAAATAAAACTAAAATAAAACACTTTTCCACAAGTTTTTAAAAGGCCTCCCACAATGCTGTCAATATTTTCTACATTTTCAAAGCTACATAACATATTAATTATTAATATATTCTTCTTTACCAATTTCATTTGAGGCGGTTGAAAACTGATTAGCGAAAAAATTTCACTCTATTACTGGGGGAACCACAAATTGCAGGAGCAAGATTGCCCTTCTGCTTCATTATTCTATTTGCTTCTAGGTCGGATTTTCACTGTTGAGCTTGCATTTTCTCTTGTTATTTATTTATGCTTCTATTATTATTTTATTATATTATTACTTATAACTTACTTAGGCCTTAATAGAGGCTCATTAACATTCCATTCCCCATCTCTCAGTAATGACCAAAATATTGCATGATTTTAGGGCGCTTATAATTCTAAAGTTTAAGTTTTAAAAGTCTGGCAAGAGCTGGCAGCGCGAATTGTTTAATAATATCTGTCGATTTTATTCATTTTGTAGTTATTAATATTTTAATTATGTGTTAATCAGTGCTTTCTTCATAATTTAGTACGAGCTGTGGTAGCTATAAAAAATAATCAGTCCAATATTAAGCAGGCTACCATTTAGACTTTAATGTTCGTACAAATGCAAATGTATTGGGCTTTCAACCCTAAGGTTTTTCCTAAGGCCTTAAACTCTCATGCTGACCCTTGGACACTTCAAGCTATTCCTCATGTAGAAATTAATGAATAGAGCCAACTACATGGAAAATGTATACATACATTATAGTCAGTTATCCAACTTCACTTTCTCCATACTTCTGGCCAACCTTAAAAACCGAACTTTTAAAGCTAGTACATACGTGTGTACGAGTGTATGTGTGGATTTCCACTCGTCCTTACTATGCTGCTTACCTTGGCAAATATCAACAACAAAAATGCTCATATGGAAATCCTTTGCTTGGCGGGCCATTCGTGCCGGGCTCACGATGGGAAAGGCATGCAAAATGGCAGAACAGGATTTTCAAACATATCGCATATACAAAATGCAAACATGTCTGGCAAACACAAATCCCATAAATGTTTTGCGCCCCCTCCCCTCCCTCTTCTAAACATCCCTCGCCACAGCAACGATCTCGGAATACACCGCAACTTGGCTCTTGGTACTAAAAACTTGCAAAAAAATATTTTCATATGTGAAAATGTGAAAAGTGTAAAAGTTGTGCTGCTCGCCATTTTGTGTTTTGTTCATATTTTGTTTGCCTCTACTCCTTTCTATTTGCTGTGCTGTTTTGTTTGTATGGCGATGGTTGGGGATATGGAAGGATATGGACGAGAGCAAGAACGAGAACGAGCATCAGGTGCTCTGTGCGCACAAAGTTTCGCCACAAAAAGCAGAAGAAATTACAACAAATCCATTTGTAAAATTGCAAACACAGAGCAAGACTTTAGAGTGGTTGGGTGGTGGTGCTCGGTCGGGAGGATGGCAGAGATGCGGAGATGCATAGATGTGTTTAGGGAGGTAGGCGAAGCAGTTGAAAATGCCGGTAACTGGTAACGCTTATCCGGTTGCCTTTGACGCCATTTTTTTTCGGCTCTTTCAGTTTAGACAAGCTGCGCATTTCGTGGGCAGCTTTAAGGGTTCATCCTATTCAGCAATTACATGCCAGGCCCTGCGCTGTCATTATGCGCTCAAAAATCAAGATGGAAGGCACACTCACAGTCTGTCATTTGCCTGAGCAAACATTCATCTTACTAAAGTTTGCCAGGACCACAATGGCCCGAGCACAAGCCCAAGCCCAGGACGAAGCTCAAGCCCAAGCACAGACCCGAACGAGGACGCCGAGACATTCATCAATTTGTTAAGGGCAGCTAACGGGTGTTCTCGGAGCAGCAGCAGCAGAGGAGGACAAAGAACGACAAGCTCCCAGGCTGCAGCTCATATTGAATGTCGGAGGCAAAAAGCGAAATTGAAACGAACATTTTTGCTGCTACGGCCAGCACTTGCATATAAATTTGCAAAAATAAGTGCAGCAAAGCAGTCGTTCAGCCCCAGCACGACATGGCTGACTAGATCCTTGGATTGCCGTCTGCCAAGCCCCCTCAACCATCTGGCTGCGCAGCAAACTACACACACGTCAAATTTCAAACAAGTTCGGCCGCCGCAGGACATGCAACAAACGGTCCGGGCCGTAACGAAGCCCGGCACAGGTAACAAAATGGCAGCCAACAGAGCCGGACTAGTGATGCACAAAAAAGCAGCTAAAAATTTCTCTTAAATTGTTATCCGTTTTCTTTAAATTCAACAGCGAAAATCTTGTACACCATTTCTTTTAAGCTGCCATGCGATTTTTTAATTATAACCGTAGAGTTTAGAAACCAAGTTAACAGGTATTATCTTTAATCGAAACAATTATCTCTATTATCTCTCTATTTGCTAATTAGAAAAAATCGTTGTATTCAATAAATGAATTCATATATTAAGCAAAACTTAATCCAAAATATTCGATAGTTATCGTCAAAGAAAACTTTAAATCGATTCGATCAAACAATTTTAGCGGGAAATTCAAGCTTTCACGCCAGCTCTGATGCAGAATCCCATGAGTTGGTTTGGGCTGCCTGCATTGGCATTTTTTCAGCTTCACTCTGTTTTTGTCGGTGCTCTTCCACAGCTCTATCTTATTTCATGGCATGTACTCGTCGTACCTAAAGGAAAACACAAAAAGTAGAATAAAGTATAAGAAAAGTTGCGCACAAGCAACAATGAATGGAGCAGCTACTGAAGAGGCATTGCATTGGGGCCTTAGTCTGGACAGGCGAAATGGCTGAGCTTGAGAGCACGCCTCAGCTTTAAGCTGCCTTAGATTTTGTCTGCTTCACAAATACAGCTCAGAGTTATCTAATCACTGGCTAACTGGCGGCCAGTTTGTTAAGCAAAATCACTGGCATATCATGTGGAGAAGCGACTAACCATTGGGTATTGATGTCCGGCTCGAAATTGCTTTATGGCCTGCATGTCGACATTAAAGACTTGGTCAGTTATTAAATAAACTAAGCGGGTAATTGGGAAGAATACAAAACTGCTAAACAACTAGTTTTTCTCTTTATATTTATAAATTTTTTAATTTATTTATTTTATTCATTTCACCAACAGACAAAGCTGTCGATGTAAAAAAGAAAAACAATAGAGAACTTGAAATAAATGAAATGAAAGAGTAAAAAAGCCCATCAAAATAACAATTATATCTATTAAAGAGTCCGTCTACTAGGCCGGAGACATTTTTAGAGCTCACAAAAAAAAAAAAAAATAGAGATGAGCAACAAAAAACCAAAAACAAGTCAAATAAAATTAAAATATTTAAATAATAAAAGATGAATATATAATTAAAAGCTAAGAAGTGGTAAGGGCTTATTGTTCAATAGTGTTGTATAGCTTTATGATTTATTTTATTAATTTTTTTGGTTTCTCAAGCTTTTTTATTTATTATGTGCCTAACCAATTTAATACCAAAGACCGAAGATTCTATTTCTAGAAATACTATTAAGTGAAAGCAAGAGTAAATAAAAAACTAATATACCCTTTTAAAAATACACACATACATAAATAGAATAAAATGTGATCACAATCAGCAACGAATCATTTGCACATAGAATTTTCAATAACAATAAATACTAATAGTAAATAAAATCAATAACAAAATGCATATTAAAGAAGATCATCGAAGTGATATTCTCAGTTTATAATAAGCTTCCAAACGAGATCTTCTTAGTTGACAGCCAAATTCAATACACAATCTGTCAGATTACATAAAGAGATACAACGAATGCATAATACAACGCTTTTTTAAAAAATGTTAGGGCCTATTAAAGATTTTAAATTAATTTCTTCACAAAGGAAAATGTAAATACCCGAACTTGATTCTGCGTCTATGGAAATTTGCTTTTCCTTTCGAGCAAAGCTACATTTAATCAGCATGTTTTCTATGCAGGTATGAGAGTTAAGTATAGAAATAATAGCAGAACTTTGTGTTCATAAAAAGAAGTATTTTCTAAAATGTTCCACCATTTTCCAGCTCTGCTTTCTCCAACCATACCTATAAGCGAATACACGAGCTGTCTGAGAAACTGTCTGCCCGATCCGCCTTTCC